TTTGCAAACAACATATCAGATAAAGGGCGAGTATCCAAAATCTATAAAGAACTTAGCAAACTCAACACCCAAAGAACAAATAATCCAATCAAGAAATGGGCAGAGGACATGAACAGACATTTCTGCAAAGAAGACATCCAGATGGCCAACAGACACATGAAAAAGTGCTCCACATCACTCGGCGTCAGGGAAATACAAATCAAGACCACAATGAGATACCACCGCACACCAGTCAGAACGGCTAAAATTAACAAGTCAGGAAATGACAGATGCTGGCGAGGATGCGGAGAGAGGGGAACCCTCCTACACTGTTGGTGGGAATGCAAGCTGGTGCAACCACTCTGGAAAACAGCATGGAGGTTCCTCAAAAAGTTGAAAATAGAGCTACCCTATGATCCAGCAATCACACTACCGGGTATTTACCCTAAAGATACAAATGTAGTGATCCGAAGGGGCACGTGCAGCCAAATGTTTATAGCAGCAATGTCCACAATTACCAAGCTATGGAAAGAACCTAGATGCCCATTAACAGGTGAATGGATAAAGAAGATGTGATACACATACACACACACACACACACACACACACACACACACACTGGAATACTATGCAGCCATCAAAAGAAATGAAATCTTGCCATTTGCAACGACGTGGATGGAACTAGAGGGTATTATGCTTAGCGAAATAAGTCAGTCAGAGAAAGACAATTATCATATTATCTCCCTGATATGAGGAAGTTGAGAGGCAATGTGGGGGGTTTGTGGGGTAGGAAAAGAATATAAGAAACAAGATGGGATCAGGAGGGAGACAAGCCATAAGAGACTCTTAATCTCACAAAACAAACTGAGGGTTGCCAGCTGGAGGGGAGTAGAGAGAGGGTGGTTGGGCTATGGACATTGGGGAGGGTATGTGCTATGGTGAGTGCTGTGAAGTGTGTAAACCTAGCCCCCCTGGGGCTAATAATACATTATATGTTAATAAAAGATTAAAAAAAAAAGGAACCCCATAAACCTATGCTGTAGAGAAACCAAGGGTTATGGGACTGAGGAATCACCTTGGTGATCTGAAGTCACTGATGAAGCCAGAAGGCCAGGCTGAAAGGGATAAAAGTGAGAAGGATGTGAGGAATGAGAGACAGGATGTACACACCTCTTTATGAGAAAGATTGAGCAGATTGAGTACTTCAAGTAGGGAACATAGTCAAGGCAGCAGTGTACAAGATCAATGTGACAAGAAAAGGACTGAAGGCAGAGAGATCATGATTTCCCTCTAGATAAAACTGGGCAAATATTGTCACAATTTAGTGGAGAGAAGGGATGTCTGGGTGGCTCAGTTGTTATGCGTCTGCCTTCAGCTCAGGTCATGATCCCAGGGTTGTGAGATCAAGCCCCACATCAGGCTCCCTGCTCAGTGGGGAGCCTGCTTCTCCCATTCCCCCTGCTTGTATTTCCTCTCTAGCTGTCTCTCTCTTTGTGTCAAATAAATAAATAAAATCTTTAAAAAATTAAGTGTAGAGAAGAAAATATTTTACAAAGAAAAAGCAGATTCATGCTTTCTGTGTCTGTTGTGGGGTGGTGTGAATTTGGTAGATGCCAAACAATTTTCAAGAATGGTGGGTTTTTCTCTGCCAAAAGGCAATTTAAAAACCTTCAGGTTAAAAAGTCCACAGCTCTTTTTAGGACATATATGAAGGTCAGTAAATAACTTACCTGCTTCAGTTTTTGTCTAAGTTAGGGTTAAAAGTGTCCTCCAACCAATTCAATTCAAAACCACATTGAGATACCACCTTACACCAGTTAGAATGGCCAAAATTAACAAGACAGTAAACAACGTGTGTTGGAGAGGATGTAGAGAAAGGGGAACCCTCTTACACTGTTGGTGGGAATGCAAGTTGATGCAGCCACTTTGGAAAACAGTGTGGATATTCCTTAAGAAATTAAGAATAGAGCTTCCTATGACCCTGCAATTGCACTACTGGGTATTTACCCCCAAAGATACAGATGTAGTGAAAAGAAGGGCCATCTGTACCCCAATGTTCATAGCAGCAATGGCCACAGTCGCCAAACTGTGGAAAGAACCAAGATGCCCTTCAATGGACGAATGGATAAGGAAGATGTGGTCCATATATACTATGGAGTATTATGCCTCCCATCAGAAAGGATGAATACCCAACTTTTGTATCAACATGGATGGGACTGGAAGAGATTATGCTGAGTGAAATAAGTCAAGCAGAGAGAGTCAATTATCATATGGTTTCACTTAATTGTGGAGCATAAGGAATAATGCAGAGGACATGGGGAGATGGAGAGGAGAAGTGAATTGGGGGAAATCCAAGGGGGAGACGAACCATGAGAAACTGTGGACTCTGAGAAACAAACTGAGAGTTTTGAAGGGGGGGGTGGGAAGTTGGGTGATCCTGGTGGTGGGTATTATGGAGGGCACATATTGCATAGAGAACTGGGTGTGGTGCATAAACAATGAATTCTGGTACACTGAAATTTTTTTAAAAAGTGCAACTTTTGGGGTGCCTGGGTGGCTCAGTGGGTTGAAGCCTCTGCCTTCGGCTCAGGTCATGGTCCCGGGGTCCTGGGATCGAGCCCTGCATCGGGCTCTCTGCTCAGCGGGAGCCTGCTTCCCCCTCTCTCTCTGTCTGCCTCTCTGCCTACTTGTGATCTCTGTCTGTCAAATAAATAAAAAAATTTAAAAAAAAAGTGCAACTTTTGTCTCCAAAAATTGCATTTCATGTATGCATGATATATATTTAAAATACATGGTGTTAGACTTTGGAGTTCATTATTTGTCCTAATGCGCCTCGGGGCACAGTTTAGGAACTACAGAGATAGTGCAAATTCATATTTCTTCTGTCTGCTTTAGCCCGTGTGACTTTGAAGGAGTTTGCTAATAAATCAATTAGCAAATAAAGATATTAATAATTACTTCATAAAAACAAGTGTCCTCCAACCTTCATGAGTGCAAGAAGCTTGGTCAAAATAAACAGTGGTAAAGCCCATCAAAGACGGGCCTGTAGTCTGACAAAGTTGGGTTTATTGACTTGCGGAAACAAGTGAGACCAGATGCACCAGAGCAACTGGGGGAGTCTAACTGAAGAAAAGGGATCGGAAGAGACAAAGATCGCATAGGATTGGTTGGAATATAGGCAAGAATTAAGCAGGCTCTTGTCTGAGCTATGAAGTGGACTCTAAGGTATAGAATCCTTGACAACTACAAAGCTAAAATAAATATGCAATGTTCTATCTGAAAACCCCTCATGTGAAGCTCTATACCTGGATTGGAAAAATGTCAAAATGATGCATGTGGCTCAGCTCAGCCAGGCAGGGAGGGGTGTTCCATTCTTACTGATAGGATTTAAAACAACAAAGCTTCTGCAAGTTTGTTCTAGGGAGCAAGGTTTTTCATCCCATGTCTCTTCATTAATCAAAAAACGCAGTTTTTATAGATTCACAATTAGTATATATCTCATGTACTGAAATTCTTCTCAACTTTCATAGCATGAATGCTACCTCCCTGAGTTTTTGTTCAGTTTCCCTTGGGTGGGTTCAGCTAGTGATAACGACATCGCAGGTGTCGTGTGTTTTGATCACGTACCAGACCCCACTGCTAACCATCTATTTGTGTCGTCTCATCCGATCCTCACAACAAGCCGTTTGAGCCTTTGAGCTAGTCACATAGAATGCTGAGGCTCAGAAAGCAACATGCCTAAGGAATTTGCTGTTACTGTATTTACTTTCATTCTGCCTCATGTTAATAATAATAATAGTAATTATTATTATTATTATTAGTCGCTTTTGAGGCAGCAACACCATCTTTTCCTCTGGGACTACATGCGTCCTACGTGCTAGACTGCGTAAACGCGGTACTGAGAACAGGCAAACTAGAACGTTCACGGTCATTGGCCTCTTCTGACTTCCTGGGTTTGCGGGAAGCACCCGTGCAACACGGGGGCGCACAGGCTGTGCGGGTTTGGGTGGATGGACCGAAAGTCCATCTGGCTCCCGAGACCCTTGTCTTTTACGTTCACGCCTGAGCGCCAGCGGCCGCGGCTCATCTCGCGGAGGCGGGACTTCCTGTCTCCCTAAAAATGCACTTCCGGCCAAAGCCGGAAGCTTCGCTGCGTACCCGCGCGAGCGAGGGTCGCGATTCCGACCACCCCGGTAGCCGCGGGGCAGGTGAGTTTCCGAGGGGCTGAGGGGCTGTGGGAGCCAAACGCGGGTGGCTGGCCTGTGGCCGGTGCGTCACCCGGCGGTGCTTCGGTCCTTCTGTCCTCTCCTAGAAACTTCTCGGGTTGTCGGAGTCGGGCGGTGCCTCCTCTCTGCCACCCCCGCCAGACCCAGACCGGGACTCGCGGGCCGGAAGGGAGTCCGGGCGGGCGGAGGCCCCGCGCCGGCCGCGGGCGAGGGGGCGGGTGGGCCGCGCCGCCCGGCACTGTGCGGAGATGCCTTGTTGGCGCGTGACTTGGGAGGAGGGGAGATGGCTCCGGTGAGAGAAATGGCCCCAAACTTCCCGTCATTTAGCGTCTGTGACGGGGAGGTAACGTGAAAGAGGCGCCGAACTTGGAGCGTTTTGGAAAAGTTCCATTGCCGGCCGCTGGGGATGGGCCTGGGTGGTGGGTGTCCGCGGGAGGGCGTGACGTGCCTGTCTGCGGGGGCCGTGTCTGGTCGGGAGGTCGGGGCTCACGGGCGCCGGGCTGCAGGACGGAGACAGCGGGGACGAAGGACCGGGAGGGCGACTTCGTGTGTGACAGCGGCCCAGCGGGCGCTGCCGTCTGAGATTCGTCCCAGCGTCCCCATCCCTTCACTTCTCACCTTTGTCTCCGCTGTCACACACAGCACGTCGCTGGGGACGTTAAAAACCCAGGTCGACAGACTCTGCCTTTTGACCATCCGGTGTTTGTACTCATTGTCGTAACTGAGGTGTCGTTCAGGCGCGGACCTCCGGAGTCGCCCGTGACCCTCGCGCCGCGCGTGTAATCCGGCGGCGAATCCCGACACTGTCAGACCCCGGGCCTCTCACTTCTCTGCGCCGGTTTGCAGCCCTGTCACCCGGGCTGCTGCCGGCCCCCTAACCCGTCCGCTGTTCTTCCAGCCTCTTTTCATCCCAGCATCGAAAGCGACCCTCCTAAAATATCAGACTGTTGCCCTGCTTTCCGAAGTCCGGCAAGGACTCCCGTTTCACCCAGGGTAAGAGCTGAAGCTACCGCTGCTCTTTGCCCCGCCCTCCGGCCTCTTCAGGCACAGCCCGGCCTCGGGGTGTTTGCAGTTGGGGCTCCTTTGCCTGGACTGCTCTCCCCCGCATCTGTGCACACGGTTTAGTCCCCTAACTCCTTCATTTATGGGAATACCGCCCTCGCAGCGGGTCTCCCAGACGCGGCCTTCCCAGACCTCCGCGTTGTGCTCGCCGTGTGCGTTCTTCATTCATTGGGCTTCCCCGCTGAGATGGAAACTGCGCGAGGACATCTTTGTACGTTCTGTTTACCGCTGTACTCCTGCTGTCTAACGCAGTGTCTGCTTCCCGTGGATTTTCTATAATGTAACTATGGAAGGAATGGATTGAACTTTTTCTACCATCTTACACTTGGTACTTCCTGTGCTTTCTTTTCTTGCCTTTTTTTTTGGATTGAGGTTTGATCTTGTGTGTTTTCTCTTTTCATTTTTTCTTCTCTGTTTCCTTGGAAGATAATATTACTCTAGGTACTCTATTTCGGTACTTACAGGGCTAACCTTTTAATTTTTAATTTAGCTATGCATACTTAATTGAATCTAATTCAATCTTAAATGAATCTTAACCTCGCCGCACAATATTGTTTTTACCTTTGTTTTACCTTTGTCTGATTTTAAACAGACTTCTTGGATCATCTCCATACTTAATTATTTTTGTAAGATGTACATGTTCAACAATAAAACTAGAGTTGTTACTGTTTTCTGGTGGTTTTGATTTTTTCTTTTTCTTTTTTTTTTTTTTTAAAGATTTTATTTATTTATTTGAGAGAGAGACAGTGAGAGAGAGCATAAGCGAGGAGGAGAAGGTCAGAGGGAGAAGCAGACTCCCCATGGAGCTGGGAGCCTGACGCGGGACTCGATCCGCCTGGGATCATGACCTGAGCTGAAGGCAGTTGTCCAACCAACTGAGCCACCCAGGCGTCCCTTGATTTTTTCTTTTTGACTTTTTTTTTTTTTTAAGATTTTATTGAGAGAGAACATGAGCAGGGGTAGGGAGCTTGTAAGGGGGAGGTCAGAGGGAGATGGAAAAGCACCCACTGAGCAGGGGCTCTCTCTTTCCGGGACTCTGAAATCATGAGCCCAAGGTAGGTGCTTAACCCAGTGAGCCATCCAGGTGCCTCTTCTGATTGATTTATTAACTCAGTTTATCATACACTTAGTAGAATATTTGTTGTATACTTAGCACATCAGACTTCATTTTTTTAAAAGTGTATGATACTTTCCCTACTTTAGCATTTTGCTGGAAAAATACAAGAGTCCACTAGAAAACAATATGGCAGACAATAAGAGTGAAATGAATATGACCCAGAGAATGAAACTAAATATACACTGTATGTTAACTAACTTGAATTTAAATTAAAAAAAAAAAAAATATGACCCAGAGTAATTAGGGTCAACCTGAAAGGAGAAACATTATAGTTTGCCAATTATATTAGGAGTGCTGGGATGAATTTGTGCAAGAGTGGTTTGGGGAGATTTGCTAGTATTTAAAAGTGTGTAAAGAAAGGGCACAAAGTTATTGATTAATTTTATTCTCATTCATACAGTTTTGTCATAAAAATTGTGGGTTTGTTTTTTTTTTTAAGATTTTATTTATTTGACAGAGAGATCACAAGTAGGCAGAGAGGCAGGCAGAGGGAGAGGAGGAAGCAGGCTCCCTGCTGAGCAGAGAGCCCAATGCAGGGCTTGATCCCAGGACCCTAGGATCATGACCTGAGCTGAAGGCAGAAGCTTAACCCACTGAGCCACCCAGGCACCCCAAAAATTGTGGGTTTGATGTAGATTTCACTCATTGGTGTTTTAGAGAGGAGTGCCTTTGGCCTCTTAGGAAATGCTTACAGCTTTTTGGGGGACCTACTTAAAATTACGTGAGGTAATTCAGTATGCGAAGGCTAAGAATCTACTGTCAGGTTGTAGTAAAACTTGGGAGACAGGCTTTGACATTTAGCATAAAAGGACAGCAAGACATGGTAAGTGAAGTAAGCCAGTCACAGAGACAAATACTGTTTGATTCCACTTATATGAGATACCTCGAGTAGTCAGGTTCATAAAAACATAAGGTAGGGGCTGGGGAGGAAGGGCTATGGGAGTTGTTTAATGGGTATAGAGCTTCAGTTTGGCTGGATGAGAAAGTTTTGATAATTGCTTGCCCAACAATGTGACTCTATCTAATGCCACTGAACTGTATTCTTAAAAATGGTGAAGATGGGGGGCGCCTGGGTGGCTCAGTGGGTTAGGGCCTCTGCCTTCGGCTCAGGTCATGATCTCGGGGTCCTGGGATCGAGTGCCGCATTGGGCTCTCTGCTCAGCAGGGAGCCTACTTCCCTTCCTCTCTCTCTCTGCCTGCCTCTCTGCCTGTTTGTGATCTCTGTCAAATGAATAAAATCTTTAAAAAAAAATGGTGAAGGGACGCCTGGGTGGCTCAGTTGGTTAAGCAGCTGCCTTCGGCTCAGGTCATGATCCCAGTGTCCTGGGATCGAGTCCCGCATCGGGCTCCTTGCTCAGCAGGGAGCCTGCTTCTCCCTCTGCCTCTGCCTGCCATTCTGTCTGCCTGTGCTTGCTCTCTCTCCCTCTCTCTCTCTCTGACAAATAAATAAATAAAATCTTTTAAAAAAAAATAAAAAAAATAAAAAAAAAATGGTGAGGATGATCAATTTTATGTGTATTTTACAACTAAAAACTTTTTTTTTTTTTTTAAGAGCAGCAGATGGGTTTGTTTAAAATTCTGCTAAATGCAAGCACCTCACTGGCTCAGTTGGTAGAGCATGTGACTCTTGGTCTTAGAGTTGTGAGTTTGAGCCCTGCATTGGGGGTAGAGCTTACTTTAAAAAAAAAAATTGGGCTAAATACGTGGGAATTGTAACATTTTTGGGTGGTAATTTTTTTTAAAGATTTTATTTCTTTATTTGACAGAGAGAGAGAGCACAAGTAGGCAGAGGGAGAGGGAGAAGCAGGCTTTCTGCTGAGCAGGGAGCCCGATGTGGGACTCGATCCCAGGACCCTGGGATCATGACCTGAGCCGAAGGCAGCCGCTTAACCGACTGAGCCACCCAGGTGCCCCTGGGTGGTAATTTTTTTTTTTTTTTTAAGATTTTATTTATTTATTTGACAGAGAGATCACAAGTAGGCAGACAGGCAGGCGGGAGTGGGGGAGCAGGTTCCCTGCTGAGCAGAAAGCCCGATGTGGGACTCGATCCCAGGACCCTGAGATCATGACCTGAGCCGAAGGCAGCGGCTTAACCCACTGAGCCACCCAGGCGCCCCCTGGGTGGTAATTTTTTAAAAAGATTTTATTTATTTCAGAGAGAGAGCTAGCATGAGCAAGAGGGAGGGGGAGGAGCGGAGCCTGATGCAGGGCTCAATCCCAGGACCCTGGGCTTATGACCTGTGCCAAAGGCAGATGCTTAACAAGCTGAGCCACCCAGGTGCCCCAGCTTATTGAAATTAAACTTCCCCATGTCAGCTTCTGTTATTCTGAATGTGATATAGTTCTTTGATTTATGGAATATTTCCCCTTACCTAAATACAGAATCTAATTTATGATGTTAATGATCTTAATCATTAAGAGATCTTAATGGCTACATTGACTGTATATGTTGAGCACTTCTACACATAAAAACTCATTTAATTCTCACGACACCTATGGAGTAGGTCCTAATACTATCTACATTTTACAGATGAGGAAACTGAGACACAGAGAGATTAGATTATCCCGTGTCCCATTGCTGTTCTGTAGTGGACAAAGTCGAATTTCTCTCCAGTGCATATAATGGCTGCATATAATGTCCAAATTACGTTAAATAGGAACAAATATCTTAATTCTTAGTGTTTTGCAATTTTCTTTCAGTCCTAGGAGAAAGAAACTGTTCAAACTAATGTAAACAAAAGAAAGACTACTGTTTCATTTAACTGGGCTAATGAAAGGCTTTAGTCATAGTTGGATCAACTCTACTTCCCTTTCTGGCCTTATTTTCAGACAAATTTTTCCAAATAGTGGCAGAGGTACCTCTCAGCTATTCCAGGTTTAAGTGGTCCTTTTGTTTTAAGGTCTAGGGAAAGAGAGAGATGGATCCTGTCTTCAAGAGCCCATGTTATTTTCTAAAAGACTGACTCTCCTTGGGTTAGGATCTTTACATATGGACCAGTTGCTATATGTCAGAAGTGGAAGTGAGGAGTCATCATAATGGCCGTCGTGGGCCTTGTGTCCACTCCTGGAGTGGGTGAGTGACCGCCCACCAGGCCGAGAGAGTACACTTCCCACAGGGGAAGCTGCTGGCTGAAAAGGTGGAAAATAGGTGAGAACCGTTTCGATAGTATAGATAGAACTCTAGGTCTCTGTTAGGTGCTTTCCCAGGTTAAGATTCTTCTACTCTTTTTTTTTTTTTAAAGATTTTATTTATTTGAGAGGGAGAGAGAGAGGGAATGAGAGGAGAGAGGTCAGCGGGAGAAACAGACTCCCTGCCGAGCAGAGAGCCCTATGTGGGACTCGATCCCACGACTCCAGGATCATGACCTGAGCCGAAGGCAGTTAGCAGTTGCTTTACCAACTGAGCCACCCAGGCACCCAAGATTCTTCCACTCTTAAACAATAATAGTCATTTTTAGAAGAATTCTTAGAAGAATTAAAGAAATTATTAACATTTTGAATGGATATTGTGCAGTTAAGATAAAGAAAAGAAAAGCATGTGCTATATGTTGAAGACTTACCACCAAACTCCTCTCATGTCCTCAAATTTTCTTTGCTTCTTTATCGAGTATAAAGACCCTTTTAGCAGTCTGATAAATCTTGTGAGCGCCTTAGAATTTGTTTTTAAGATTTTGGTTTTAAGTAATCTCCACACCCAACATAGGGCTTGAAGTCAGAACCCCAAGATCAAGAGTCACACACTCTACTGACTGAGCAGCCAGTCACCCTTAAAATGTTTGGGGTTTTTTTTGTTTGTTTGTTTAGATTTTATTTA